CATATATACAATGGAATATTACTCAGCCATAAAAAAAGAATGAAATAATGCCATTTGCAGCATCATGGATGCAACTAGAGATTATCATACTAAGTAAATTCGAAAGAGAAAGACAAATACCATGTGATATCACTTATAAGTGGAATCTAAAATATGACAGAAATGAACAGAAACAGACTCACAGACATAGAGAACAGACTGGTGGTTGCCAAGGGGGAGGGAGTTGGGGGAGGAACGGAGTGGGAGGTTGGGGTGAGCAGATGTACCTTTTATACATAGAATGGATAAACAACAAGGTCCTACTGTATAGCGCAGAGAACTATATTCAGTATCCTGTGATGAACCACAATGGAAAAGAATATGAAAAAAAAGAATGTATATATATGTATAACTGAATCACTTCACTGTATAGCAGAAATTAATGTAACATTGTAAATCAACTATACTTCAATTTAAAAAAAGAAAAAGAAAAAACAAAAGTAACACCGCATCTAAAATTGTACAACATATCCCAAAAGTCCTCCCTTCTTTTTTTTTTTTTTTTTTTTTTGCGGTATGCGGGCCTCTCACTGTTGTGGCCTCTCCCTTTGCGGAGCACAGGCTCCAGACACGCAGGCTCAGCGGCCATGGCTCACGGGCCCAGCCACTCCGCGGCATGTGGGATCTTCCCGGACCGGGGCACGAACCCGTGTCCCCTGCATCGGCAGGCGGACTCTCAACCACTGTACCACCAGGGAAGCCCCCTCCCTTCTCTTTTAAAAGAAAAATAAAAACCATAACCCTAAAATGTACAGTACAAAAAAAAATTGTTTATTTAAAATATATTCACCATCTTCATCCAACAGGATTTAAAGTAGTTTTCCTTAAGTCAAGATAAGTGTTTCCTAAATAGATCTTTAGATGAAAAATTAAGTTAGAAAACATAAACCAGGCCCCTTTTGCAACAATACAAGCTGGGAGAACAATACTCTACCTCATTTAGCAATAACTCAGGGTTCAGAAACGTCAGGTAAATCCTGGTTAAAGGATAACTGGGGAAAAAAGGGAAATGCAAGTCTTTGCAACCGGAGCAGTCTAATTCCTCAGACTGAGATATCAAACTTAAAAGCTAGGTCACAGAGCCTACAAAAAGCTTCCTACATTTCCAGTTGGAAGGGCCTCTAAAAGGGCCTACTAAACTCTAATAGAGTGAAACTGTGATTTTTTTCAGGTGAAAAATTCATGACCTTATTACAAAAATTCCCAAAAGCCAATAACAACAACGTGCATCCTGCCAAACAAATTTATACACGAGATACTAAAATCAGACAAAATTTATCTGCAGAAAAATAAATATGTATGAATTACCTGTAATGCTGTAAACTCCATTCTCACAAACTATCTCCTAAGGTGAATTTGAAAAACCATCATGCAACCAAAAGCGTCAAATAGATAAACAGCAAAGATAGAAATCAGAAACTTGCAGCCTCGTTTTTAGCTCTTCCGTTGAGTTTTTAATATTACAGTGGAACGAACTATGCTGGCTAAATAGATACAATGCCAGTGTCTCCAATGGAGCTCTCTGATTCACTTTAACAATTCACACAACTTTGAAGAAACTTAAGGCCCACAAAAATATAAGCATAATGTGGATTTTCCTAGCAACTCTCTAAAAAAAATGGGCTCTTTCCTTTCTGTCTCTTTCATTCACTTTTATAATACCCCAGGGGCAGGGGCATCATATACTCTTTCTCTTGCTCTCCACAAAGACATGCTGACACGAAAAGAGAATAAATGATATGAACAAGGTCATAATTAGCAACAGACCTTGGACAACTGACCTCCAACTATAGAAGAGCAAAGAAATTCAACTTGAAGTATGTACTCTGTCTTTGATAGAAAAGGTGTATAATGAGCCTATAAAAGTATAATGAAAAACTATAATGCTGCTTTGATTTCATGGTCCTAAAACACACTTGTAAAGTAAAACATCTACCAGTTGTCATCTAAGCTAACAAAGTAGGTGATGCTACTTTGCCTAGATAACATTTCATGTGGCATGAACATAGGCTCCTGCCAGCTTTGTAACTACTAAAACTCTCAGGCCAACGTAGTTCCATGAGTTAAAGAAAAAGAATATCTACTCAGAGCACCAAGCTTCACCAGCGGCAGCATTTCCAACGATCCGTCCTCACCTTAGAATCGAGCTGCACAGAGGTCTTGTCATATTAACCTCAACAAGAATCAGTTTGTCAACAGAAAAATAATACTGCACAAACACACTCTAAGGCAACTCAACTTCCAAAACACCAGCAAGAAATGTTGAACATGAATAAATATTTTATACAAACATACGCTACATTAAAGCTTCTTTTTCTCAAGATGATGTGTAACCAACGAAACACACACTTGGCTGAGCGTCTGGAGACAGGGTTATAGTTCCAGCTTTTGGCATTAATGTCCTTCCTCTGCTTCACAGGTAAGTCACTTCATTTCTCCTCCCCTAGGTTTCTCTCTCTCCAAAATGAGCAGGACAGACTCCACAACTGCTAAAGTATGTAGTGACCGAAACACACACCTTTGCTGAATAAGACACTACAAAAACATGGCTTTTTATTTCACTAGCTTTTATACTCTATTCCTAATCCTTTTTATTATGTTGTCCACGACTGTAACTGTCACTCACAGCCACCTAGGTAGTGACAATTACAACCGCTAACCCTTAACGCAAGTGCTCACACGCCACGTACTGTGCTAAGCACCTTATGTTAACTCACTTCTTCCTCAGCACAATCCTACGAGGCAGTAACCGTGAGTGAGGAAACTGAGATGCAATTATGTGACCTGCCCAGGGCCATAAGGTTCACAGGCAGAGAAGCCGGGATTTGACCCCAAGCCCTTCCTGATCAACCACCAGGCTAAACACACCTCGAGAGTCTACAGAGGGGAAGGGTGAGGTGAAGCAGAGTCCATCTGCAAAATGTTGCGGGAAGCCCAAACACTGACCTTGTACTAAGAACTCTCTGGGAAACAAACGGCAGCTTATGATTTACAAACCCAGCACAAAAGCACCTGTCACGGCTATTCTTTTCTTCCATGCTTCAGTTTCACTTAACATGGATCTTAAAGGGATTAAGTTAAACCTACCTCCCTTCTTTCACCCATTGAGGGAGATGCACAAATAACAGAAACTGGGGAAGTTCTGGCGACGTCCACGTCCCCTGTGGGGTAGACACCACTCCATTAATGGCATGGCACAAAGCCACCGTCCAGGGACACTGCATGTTAAGTCATGTGCCCTAAAACCTAACAGCAGAAAAAACTGACCAGTCCGAAGTGGAAACACCAGTTTCTCAGCCTGAACTCTCTAAGACTGGGGAGTCTAGCTACTGAGACCAGGCGGTAACAACAACAACAAAAGGTACGCATCAAAATACAGTGCAGTCAGTGTGCGTTTAGACTGCGAGCTGGTATTTACAATCAGGACAGAGAGAAAATACTAGTAATCAAGGAAGTCCTCTTTAACCATCTAGCACACGGTTATGTTTATATATCTATATCCCCCATTCGTAAATCAACTCCAATCTCAAGAGCCCTGCACTTGGCCGAGTCCCTGGAGAGGTTGAGCATTTCAGTGGGCCAAGGCCCGGGGAGGGGAGAAATCAGGTGTGAGTTCTAGAACCCAGGAGGCCGTCGGAGCCCCCAGGCTGCCCCCGAGGCGGGGCGAGTCCCCGTTTGGCAAGGCCAAAAGGAAATCACTTCAGCTAAGTGGGACGGTGAGCTCCTCCCGCAGGGAAAAGCCACACTCCCGCTCGCCACATCGCCTGAGTTTCATGTCCAAGGCCACGGACTTTTATTGACTGGTTTTACAAACCCGGCCCTGAAGGACAAGGGCTTGAGAGCGGTGGCGAGCAAAGATGGGGAAGAGGAGGCATTTTGTTTCACAGGGGAAAAAAAAATTTTTTTAATCAAAACAACCCACGGAGAAGCCAACGAAGACTTCTTTACCGGGCCTGTCTCCGGGCTTTTGAATCACTTCCTCCTTTTCAGATGCGTCTCTGACCTTGAGATTACGAAGTTGCAAAGAAAGTCTTGCCTCTATGGGCAGCTTCCTGCGAGCGAGCGAGCCGAGCGCACGGCGCTGTCCGCGGGCGCAGAGCCTGCCCTGCCTCCCGGCCACCCCAGGCGGGAGCGGGCGCCGGGGCACGCGGCGGCGCCACGAGGGACTGGGATGGGTTCCTAGGGGCCCTAGCGCCAGCGCTCCCCAGCCCGCGCCCCGGCTTACCCCAGCGTGTTGATGAAGCCGTTGACCGAGCCCTCCGCGTACAGGGACACGATGTCCCCTATGTAGAGGAAGCTGGACATTTTATCGGACATGCTGCTTCATGCTCCGAAGAATACGTCCCTCCTCTTCTCTGCGCCCTCGCCGCCCTCTCCGGGGAGCCGCCGCGGCAGAGGAACGGAGCGCCCGCCTGTAGCGCCCAGAGCGGCGGCGGCGGGCACGGCCCGAGGGATCAAGTGTCAGGCTCAGCCCTGCCCCGCGCCTGGCGAGCAGCCAGGAGCGGCGCTGCAGCTCCGGACACCCCGCGACGTGCGCCGCCCGGACGCCCGGAGAGCCACAGCCGCCGCCGCCTCCCCGGCAAGTTTCCTGTTCCTTTTAGAAGTTTTCTCTCCAACACCTTTTGCTCCTCCTCCTCCCTCCTCCGCTCCCCCCTCTGCCTACCCTCCCCGCTCCGCACTCAGCCGCAGCGGTCCCCGCAGCCCGGCCAGAGCTGGTGCTTATAGAGCCCCTCGGTTCCCTCGGGGGAATTTTTGGACCAGGTGGTGGTGCCCATTGGGCGAAGGGGAGGAGAGGAGCCGGGGGACGAGAGGGCGGAGGCCAATCAGGCGGCGGCGGCCTGGGGCGGAGCCGGGCCGGGGCGGGGCGACCAGGGTAGGGGGTGGGGCCCGGCCACCCGGGGAGCAGTGGCGCGCGCTCACCGAACGCGGGGGTGGTGCTAGAGGGGCGGCGGGATCCCCGAACCGGGAAGCGGTCTCCGGAGAGCCGCCCAGGAGAGGCTAGACTTGGGGTGCGACAGTTCCTGCCTGGGAAAGCGAAGGATGGCGGGGCCGAGACCCAGTCCCTTGTCTTAAAGGGGGCGGGGAGGATTGAGAATTGGCTATAGGGCGCGCGCGCAGGACCGGAGCGGAGTGAGCCGGCGATACGCCTGGAGATGAAAAGGAGGAGCCGGAGCGGCGTGGGTGCGTGGGGTGAATAATTTGCTGACACAGGGAGAGGAAGGAAGGTGTTGAAGCAAAGGAAAAAGTAGAACATTTTTTAAAATACACAATAAAGAAAGAAAATAAAAAGGAGAAGGAGGGGGAAGGGAGGGAAGGGGGAGGGTCTGTCTCTACTTGGACTATGTAGTTTAGGTTTTGTCTCGAGTATAGGGCGTTAGTGAAACTTGACCCGTCAGCAGATGTCCAGGTGGACATGAGGTAAAAGTCACTTGGCCGGGCCAGCAATTTTTTTAGCCAACCATAGGCGGTGAACCTTCTCCTAAGCCTCCTGGTCTCTTAATCCCGCGCCCCCTGCTCTTAACCCGGAGCCCAGGTTTAACTTTCTACTTCCGGAAGTGCGCTGTCACAGTCTTCATTGACCGTCTTGGTTTGTTTACTTTTAAAGCTTCTGACTCTTAAAGCTCCAACGGTCATAAATGAAACTGGCAGCGGGACACGTTTCCACACCTTCTCCGTTGCTTTTGTAACCCTCATCATTTTACAAGACTTTTGTCCTACCCTTCCGGAAGACCTGGAGAAGGCAGACTTGGACAGCAGTTACGACACTAGCCACCCAAAGAATTGTGACCTAAGTAATCCCCCTAGGGCAAGGTTTGCTGAAAGGTGGAGGAACCCAGGGCGTGCACAGAGGTGTGTGCCAAATTGTGCAACTGACCAAAATGTAAATTTACAGTTCGAGGCTGTCTTACAGTTTGAAGATGGTTTGGGTTGAGACTTATAATCCCATAATGGAATAGGAAGGAATAAGCTTAATGTTCAGACACCTGTGTTTAGAAAGCCTGCAGGATAGAGGAGAATAAAGTGTTAGACCCAGAATCCAGGAAATGCCAGCACAAAGCCTGAATGTACTGAGATAAACTGGACCCAGTCATTGTCCTACCATGCAGCTGACAGATCTCTCTTTACTTCTGGGTTCTCCTTTGGAAATGGTTACTTAGCAACTTAGAAATGCCTGTTACATGATAGAAGCCCTCTTCTGTCTACATGATACATGATATTACTGTTGGGAGCCTCCAAGACATTGGACGAGCTATTTAAAAGCTTGAGATGGAGCGAGATGAAGACCCTGAAAATGGAGGTTTCTGTTTATCCAAGAGATCTATGGATTACATTCTATGGTTTCCCATGTTGCACAGTCCTGTACCATACATCCAAATGGATGCTCCACAATTATTAGCCAGTCATGAATGTTTTTCTTTGTTTCCTCTAGGTACAAACTATCAGTGAACAAGACATTACAAAACAAGTGGGTGATTGTTTATGCTAATGAACAGGTACAAACTTCAAACCACATACCCAAGACCAATGGGTTTCTTCCTCCTCACCTCGTCCTCACAAGTCACCACCCACTGAAGTGTCCTATATAGTCTGAGGCCTGGATCTGGTCACACTGCTGCGTTAACATGGCAAAGATAGTCAGCCAACCACCAAAGGTTTAGGCTCTCCTTCCATGGCAGCCAAGCCTCCTTAAAAGGGTCTTCCCAGCCTTACCTATTCTGGCAACTCTGCCTTTATTTGCTCAGCTCAGAAACCTTGGAATCGTTTTTTTTGTTTGTTTGTTTTTGCGGTACGTGGGCCTCTCACTGTCGTGGCCTCTCCCATCGTGGAGCACAGGCTCCGGACGCGCAGGCTCAGAGGCCATGGCTCACGGGCCCAGCCGCTCTGGCATGTGGGATCTTCCCGGACCGGGGCACGAACCCGTATCCCCTGTATCGGCAGGCGGACTCTTAACCACTGCGCCACCAGGGAAGCCCTTGGAATCGTTTTTGACTCCTCTCTCACACCCCACATTCAGTCCGTCAGCAAATCCTGTCAGCTCTACCTTCACAGTATAAACAACATCCTACCACCCTGGTCCATGCTTCCATCATCTCTCTCCTGGGTCGTAACAGACTCCTCACTGATCTCCCCACTTCCAACTTTGCACCTTTATGATCTATTCTCAACCAAGAAGCGAGACATTTGCTGTTAAAATAGAAGTTAGATCAAGTCTCTGCTCAAAACACTGCAACGACTTCCCATCTCAGAATGAATTCTGAAGTCACTTCCATGGCCTATATGGCCCTATTTAATGTGCCCCCTGAGCCGACGTATTGTAGTACGTCTGTGCAGGTACGCATGTGTGAGTGGCACTTACACGTTAGTGAGCAGTGAGCAGTACGCACCTGCACCACTGTTCTTAGAGCCCCCCACTGCCCCTCTGACTTCATCTCCTGCCACTGACTTGACCTTCTCATTCCAACCACCTTGGCCTCCTTGCTCGCCCTCATATATGCCAAGTCTGCTCCCTGTTGAGGGCACTTAACTTACTGTTCCCTCTGCCTGGTGTGTTCTTCCCATGTGTATCTGCAAGACTCAGTCCCTCTCTTGCTTCAGATCTCTGCTCTGATGTCACCCTGTCATGAGGCCTTCCCTGACGATGCTATATAAAATACTGTCAGCCCCATTTGCTATCTCCCTACTCTATTTTTCTTTTTTTTTAAAATAAATTTACTTATTTATGTTTGGCTGCATTGGGTCTTCGTTGCTGCACGCGGCTCTCTGTAGGCAGTGAGTTGCGGAGCATGGGCTCTAGGCACGCGGGCTTCGGTAGTTGTGGCACGCAGGCTCAGTAGTTGTGCCTCGCAGGCTCTAGAGCACAGGCTCAATAGTTGCGGCACACGGGCTTAGTTGCTCCTCGTCATGTGGGATCTTCCCGGACCAGGGCTCGAACCCATGTTCCCTGCATTGGCAGGCAGATTCTTAACCACTGAGCCCCCAGGGCAGTCCCTCTATTTATTTTTCTTAGATTTTTTTATCATAGCATGTTATACATTTATTTGCTTATTTATTTGTCCTGTCTCCTCCCAGTAGAATATAGGTTCCATGATGGCAGAGAATTTGTATGTTTTCATCACTGCTTTATTCCACTCTATAAAAGAGTTCTTGGCACTACGATGTGCCTATTAATAAATATATGTTGAGTGAGTGGGGGAAAAAAATCACCTAGTGCGACATCTTTGTGGAGTCTCAGGACCTCTGTGAAGCTTGCTCCCTCCAAGAGTAACCATATTTCAATTGGGATGCACGTTCACCCTAATCTCAGATCCCCAAACTTTCTTCATGTTCTATCATTATCTTCTCTCTGAAACTAGTTGTGGGACAGAGACCTCCCCATTTACACCTAATCCTAATTCTAACTCACTCTACACTACCTGTCAATAAGTACCATTAACCCACTGTGATTTAGCTAAATCCCACATGAGAGGAGAATGAAGGAAAAGGGAGAGTCCTCAATTTACTGAGACTAAAGCTGCAATGACTGAGAAAACCTGAAGTTACTGAATTTATCCAGAACTGGCCAGGTTAAGTTTGCCATCAGTAGAGATGGGCACTTAAAACAGATTAAATTATCAAAAAATAGTTTGGCCCCACACCATGTACAAAAATTAACTCAAAATGGACCGAAGACCTAAATATAAAACTTTTATAAGAAAACATAGAGGTAAGTGTTCATAATATTGAATTTAGCAATGGTCTCTTAAATATGACATCAAAGCCATAAGCAACAAAAAAAAGATAAATTTGACTTCACCGAAGTTAAAAATTTTTGTGCTTCAAAGGACACTATAAAAAAAGTGAAAATACAATATACAGAATGGGAGGGAATATTTGCAAATCATGTATCTGATAAGGAACTTGTATCTAGAATATTTTTGAAAAACTCTTACAACTCAACAATAAGAAGACAAATAACTTTTTAAATGAGTAAAGGATGTGAATAGTCATTTCTCCAAAGAAGATATACAAATGGCCAATAAGCACGCAAAAAGATGCTCAACATCATTAATCATCAAGGAAACACAAATTAATACAACAATGAGATTTCATTTCACATCACATTCACTGGGATGGCTACAATAAAAATGACAGATAATAACAAGTGCTGGCAAAGATATGGGAAAACTGGAACCCTCTACTGCTGGTAGAAATATAAAATTGTACAACACTTTCGAAAAGAGTTTGCCAGTCCCTGAACAAGGTGAATGTAGACTCGCCATTTGACCCAGCAATTCCATCTCTTGTATATATCCAAGAGAAATGAAAACATAGGTATACAGGAAAACTTGTACAAAAATGTTCATAGTAGCTTTATTCATAGTAGCCAATGTCCATCAACTGATGAATGGATAAATGCATAGTGGAATATTACTTGGTCATAAAAAGGAATGAACTATTGATTCATGCTGCAGCATAGATGAACCTTGAAAACATTATACTAAGTAAAAGAAACCAGTCACAAAAGATCACATATTATATGATTCCATTCATATAAAATGTCCAGAATAGGCAAATCCTTGTAGATAAAAAGTCAATTAGTGGTTACCTAGGGCCCGTAGTGGGTAAGTAAAGGACACAGCGTTTCTTTTCGGGGTGATGAGAAAGTATGCTTCAAACTTACACCTCTGTTCAGCATATATTTCCCTTTAACTTGACCTATGTGTTCTTGGTTCCACCTGACACCTACTTCAAGCAAGGGTAACCTCATACCTAGCTGCCGAGAAGGGGGAAAGTGTGCTAGGGTACCACTAAAAAGAATTCAGGGACTTCCCTGGTGGTCCAGTGGTTAAGACTTCACCTTTCAATGCAGGGGATGCAGGTTCAATCCCTGGTCAGGGAACTAAGATCCCACATGCCTCTCGGCCAAAACACCAAAACATAAAACAGAAGCAATATTGTAAAAAGTTCAATGAAGACTTTAAAAATGGTCCAAAAAAAAAAAAGAGAGAGAGACTTTTAAAAATAAATAAATTTTTTTTAAATAAAAAGAATTCAGTGAAGCTGTAGGTGGGGTAAAACACATTACTTAATTCCTCACTAATCGTCTGAGTCACAAACTCAAAAATGTCCCATCTTCCAATGAAAATCACTTTTGTCATCATGTAGCATCAGCAACCTCTTAAGAATCCAGGCACAAAGTCTTAGAGTTACTCTTTATTCTTTCCTCTACCTATTTCTTTCTTTTATCTCAAGAATGTCTCCTCTTTACCTTCTCCACTATCCTTGCTCTGTTCTATATCGTTGCCTACTCACTGGTCTCCTACCTTCCAGTCTCCCACACTCACCATCCTCAAAGCAAGCCAGGACAGTCTCCTTACAAAGTTGATCTGATCAAAACTGTTCAGACTTACAATGACACCCCCCTGTCTGCAGAAGAAAGTTCAAAGTCTTTAACCTGCTAGTGTGGATATTAGATATTGTGAACATCAGTCCATCTAAATGGATTTCCACTACGATGTCCTAGCATTCCACACTGACCATGACCTGGTCTCCTCCTTTGATATCCTTAGTTTCTACTCTTCCACTCCTCATATCCTCGTGGAAAGCCAGACTTCCCACATATAATCTGACAATTTTAGTCTCCATGCTTTTGAGTGTGATGGTCCCTCTGCCAGAAATTCCCCTTCCTCCTTTCCTTCTCCTGCTTCTACATGCCCAAGCTCCATTTCCCCAGTGAAGCGTCCCAGATACTGCCAGGGCAAAGTTCTCCTTCCTACTGAATCCCCATCTCCATATTCATGATGGAGAGTTCTGTGGATTTGCTCCCTAGCAAATATACCTTAGTCGTTTATACGGCTTGCTGTGAAATTTTGAACTAAAAAAAAATGCTGTGACTTGCCTGTAGGTTCAGGCTGGAAGAAGAGTAGATGATGATATAGGGAAGAAGGTAGAAGGACAATCTCATAGTCATCCTCAACTGCTGTTGTGAGGTAGATCCCAGAGAGCCGTCCACTTTTCCCCCATGTCTAACAGCCTGAATGGGGTTAACTCCACCCCCGAACTCCGAGCATGGGTCCTCACTGGTCTAAACCAGGGCTTCTCAAACTTTAGTGTAAGAACCATCTTAAAACACAGCTCCCTGGGCCCCGTCCGATGAGATTTTTGACTTAGCAGGTCTAGAGTGGGGCTTACTAGCATTTCTGAAGGGGGTGGTTTTGTGTGGGCAAGGGTTGGGGGAGTTGGGGGTGAAACAGACCTTGGTTAGTGGGAACGCTTTGCTGAGAAAATGACTTGTTTTTCATTTTTATTTCGAAATAATCTCAAACTTACAAAAAAGTTACAAAAGAGTAACTTTTTACAAAGAGTACATCACTTTGACCCAAATTCATCAGTTTTTATAATTTGCTATGTTTGTTTCATCATTGTCTTTCTCTACAAACACACACATACACACATACAATTTATGTTTAGAACCATCTGACTATAGGTTGCATAATCATGCCCCTTTACCTAA